TGCTGTGCCTATATATGGTCATGATGTGCCAATATATGGTCATGATGTGCTTATATATGGTCATGATGTGCCTATATATGGTCATGATGTGCCTATATATGGTCATGATGTGCCTATATATGGTCATGATGTGCCTATATATTTTCATGATGTGCCTATATATATGGTCATGATGTGCCTATATATGGTCATGATGTGATGTCATCGTAGCATCACATCATGAGAACGCAATGCCTTGACGCATGCTCAAAAAGCCGTTTTTAATGACGATCTGTTTAGACTGCCATTGGCAAACAGCGTTGCATCGTCTAGTGCTCACAGGAACAGAGTTAGATTTGTCAGGCAACAGTAGAATGCAGTAAGTGCCCAGTTCAAGGCTGGCGGTTCATTTATATCTAGAGCAAAATATTTCTCTGTGTGTGACTATGTGAGTATATACAGTATAATTACTTGGTAGGCTTAAGGCCAATACCAGTATGCTGTGAGTGGTAGCTGCAAACTGATCACACAGTGAGTTGAGTATGTAATTCACTGGTGTTTAATCTAATGACCAGGGTAATATTTGGTACCACAAAATGCTCTGCATTACTCGATATAATTATATGAGTTCTCTTGTAAATTAGTGGATAAAGAATAAATAAGTAAAATCCTGTTTTAAAATCGTTTAACAAAATCTAATTTCAGAACTACAACCCAATGCAAGTGATTTAGTAGATTCTTGGATGAAAGTGATCAAGCATAGTCCTGGACCAGGTGAGGCAACCTAACTCTTAAATCTTAATTGTTTATAACTAAGTTATTAAAAAATAATTTATTCAATCAACCTTTTAAACTAGTGGTTTTTGTTTTTTTTGTCTGTGTTATATATTTAATTTCTATGTAACTGTTTTAATATAAGAATTTGTAATTTATTTTGTATAGTATCCAAATTTATAGACAACTTATGATGTTATTTTTAAATTTTTTGTTTATTCCTTAGTTAATTCAGATAATATTTTCATCTAACATTAATTTCTCATTTAAACAAACATTTTAATGAACTGAATAAATCTTATTCAACATCTATGTACATGATATAAACATATTCCTTACAATTATCATTACTAATTCTTTGTTTTATTAAAGAAAAACCTGTGAAGAAGAGGAAGTTTAAACTTAAAAAGGAAGAAAGCAATGGAAATTCCTCTGAAAAGAAACCTGTTGAGAATGTGAAAAAAGAGCCAGAAAAGACTGAAGTCAAGAAAGTTGGCAAACTAAAAATAACACAAATCAAATCTGGCAAACCAGTTGCTAAGCTAAAGGATGACAATAGCCCAACAAACTCAAAGACTTTTGATCCACCTAAACCGAAAAAAGCTAAAGTGTCGGGACCAGCCCATGCTAAGCTCAGGTCAACAGGCCTAGAGCAAGCCACGCCGCTCCCAAAAATGCGTATTAAGAAAAAGGTTGTAAACGCCTCTAGTACGTCAGATAAGAAATTACCTACAACCAAAAGAGAAGGGTAAGTATTATTTGGTACATTCATCATTGTATTTAAATTATTGTGATTATTACTCGTGATGTATTATTTGTATGGTTGTGTTCTTAATTTTATTTTCAATATTATACCTTGATTATCGTAAATGATTGCATTCCTGGAAAAAATATTCCTTCCTTTAAAATTATGTTTGTAAAAATTATGCCTCTAGCAAAAAATGTTGCCTAAATATAGCCCAACAGTCTAGTCTTGAGCAATTTTTTTTTCTCTGTGCCCTTCCTGCCCCCACATCCAGAATGAATCTGAGTAGATTCTGATGTATGATGCCTCTGACTGCTCATAGTACATTTTTTCCAACCATGACTGCCTTTGTAATTATTAACTTTATACATTGAGTTAATGGTGGTAAAAAAATGTCATTGCCAATCAATGGCGGCTGATACAAGTACAGTACTGTAGTGGGTCCTCCGACACAGACTAAATTCAAATAAAAAATGGTGTTCAAATCCAGCCGATTCTACCTAAGTGATCACTTTCGGTAACAAATAAAATGCTGATACACTTCTATACTGGTGACAGCACCAGTCATCAATCATCTGATCAGAATCCTCTAATCAGGTTTGGTGACACCAAAACTGTTACTTATCAAATCTATTAGGTAGAATCGGGTGTCAAATCGTTCTAAAATGGTTAATGTTGTTCTTCATTACAGGCCAGTTTTAGATAAACTTTCACAACCAGTTGAAAAGAAAGTGAAACAAGAATTAGACAACAATAATGACACAAACAAACCAAAAGTCCTGACCAAACCTAACAAAGGTAAGAATTGAAGCTTGTTATACTGCCCCCAATCTAAACAGATTTTTACCATGGGAATAGATGTGTCATGTAGTGTAATTCCTCAGAAGTGTTTTTCATTCACATTATATTAAATTTATAGCTGAACTCATCATTGTAATAAAAATATAAACATCCTCACCTCTCCATTATTTGATTGGCTGTGACACATCGAAAAAACACACTATCCACACTATCAAATTTTCTTTGACAAAAAAGCTGTTGTATGCCATGTGTAGTCATGATGTGCCTATATACGGCCATGATGTGATGTCATCATGACCATATTTAGGCATGTCACATGTCTTTGTCAAAATTTGATAGTCTGGTCAGGGCTTTAGATTTTTTTAAAAGTTTTAGATGTAAACTGCTTTGTGTGCTCACTGTTTCAACTTACAAACAGTAGGTGGAGACCCTGTTTTAACTGTTGTTTAACATTGACCATTTTTGCCTCATTAGTCCATACAGTCCATGAAAGTGCAGGGTTCATGGACGCACTGCTGGCACCTCCGACAGCACCGATAAGACGGAAACCCAAGAAACCCCCAGTTAAGCCAATCTCACCCAAGGGTGGGCCAAAGGTAATATATAAACTCTTGTTATATAGTTCTTCCTGTATGTACATCATTGTAGTTGTATATTCAAGATTCAAGATTGCTTTATTATCATTAAAACCAAACATGTGTGTATATATGTGCGTGTTTGTGAACTGTATGTATGTACACTTTGCTTTACGGGAAGTATATTTTTGAGGTAGATATTACGTTAAACAGGATATTCTAGAGGGGATTAACATTGTTGAGAGGAGTTTGGGATTATGAATTCAAGCTACAGTGCACCCTCCGAGTTCAGACCCCTTTAATTCAAGACACTTTTCCTAAAAAAGCAAATAACCATTAATAATCTACAACGTTTTTAACACTAAGTTAACCCTCTAATTGGAGACATAACGCTGAGACCACCCCAAATATTCGGGGCAAGCTGTACTTTAATATCTTTAATAATGTGCTCCTTGGTTTTTACTTAATTTCTGTATGTTGATTTTAAAAATAAATATCAGTAATTATAAAAATAATCCTGTTTTAAATTAGCATTTTTGTAAGACATAAAATCATAGATCAAAAATGATAATATTAGTTTGTTAATCTTCACTTTCTCTGTTTTTGTTAGAATCCATTTGATGTAACAGAGTCCACTGCAGAGCCGCAGGTATGCATATATTCCATGTTTTTACAACCGTAATTGTCATTCAATTTGTTTTCATAGTAATCAAGAAAGTACCAAATACACACTTTACCTTCCTTGCTGCTGGAATTGTACTGTAATATTATGAATGCTGTCATTTTCAGTTCATTATATTTTGTTTGTTTTCTTTAGAGCATTATTAAACCTCCATTTCTTCCTCACAGTATGTATTGAACTTAAAGATCATGACAAAATCTGGCTCTTGCAAACCTACGCTCATAAAATAGGATTTCCATTAAAAAAAATAATAATTTTATAAAATGGAATAAAAGTTCTTTTTAAATTTTTTATTTAATTTCAGAATGATAAAGATGTGAAAACTGAGGCTCCAAAAAGTAAGTTAATATTTTCATATCCATAAAACAAATGAACCTTAAAATTTAAAAATGTGTATGCCGTGCATTCCACATGATGATACAATAGTTTTGTACAGGGCGGTAGATTTCCTTATTTTTCTTTATCATCATACCATCGAAGGGGGCGCACTCCCTGTGAACTCATACATAGTGGGCATCCATAATGGTGATAGTGACTCATCTTAACTTGGGGAGTGACGTATTTACAAATGGGAGTACGCTCTCTTGTTCTATTTATTATCTTTGATGATACTAATGATGTTTATAGAAGCAGGAGTGTACCCATGATAATTATGCGTTTTTTTATTTCACCAGTTCGATTCTACTCTGCGGGAACGACAGAAGATGAGGAGACCAATTCAACCAATGACAATAAATCAGAAACAAAGAAAAAGAAGAAATCAGTGAGATGGAAAGCAGACGAAAACCTTGTATCTTTTCATTATTTTGAATTGGATGAAAGTGAACGAGGTAAGCAAAGCAATTATTTTATTTAAATGTGTAAGGCAGTTGAACAGATACCAAATTAAAGTGATATGTACAACAATCCTTAAGTTATCATTTATTAAATTTAAAACATTAAGTTTCATTGAAATGATAAACAATGGTCAATAAGTTTACATTAGTTACATTTAAACAATTGGTTAATTGTATGGTGCCACTATCTATCAGACTATTTTGTCCAAAAGTAAGTTACCCCTTTATGAATTTACTACCTCTTGTTTAATCAACCAACAATGTTTCCATACTCACTTTCTTGTCTTAATTTTGCAGTAAATGTAAATAAAGTTTCAAATTTTGCTGATGCAAAACGACTAGAGAGGGAAAGCGAGAAAGAAGCTTTGATGTCTGTGAAGAAGGTGATACCAAACGAAGACGAAAAATCATCAAACGGAACAATAGAATATATGCCGGTAAGGATCACTATTGTTTGCAGAATTCATCAATGACTGATTTACATGTCTTGAAAAATATTAAAGGAATACATAATGCTCTCAAATCATTTAGTTATGTAAAATTAATACGTCTCATAACACTTTTTTTTTTTTTTGTTGAAGCATAATTTTGCACAGGAATTGAACCCATGATTTTGTGATTTGATAGGCATGACCAGCCTACCACTAGTGCCCTCATTTTGATTTTAAACTCATTACTTATAAATTTATTATTCAGGTGAAATGCTGTTATCTATATATACACATACATCGACATTTATAACTTCCTACATATTCTAAACTTGTGTTAATTTTTGGTTCAGTGGCAACGTCCAATCATGATCTATCTACAAAATGCGCCAGCAGAGGTTGTATGTAATAGTCAAGAGAAGGAGACGCAGCGGCAACGTGAAATGGCTGTATTGCAGGTGCTCTTTTTTGACAAGGCAAGTCTTCCCGATACGCCGATGGAACCAGACCCGGAGATCCTGGAGCCCTCTGTGGTAAAGAGAATACCGCTGGAAGATGTAAGGATATTTGATAGTTAAAATGGATAATAACTTGTTTGTCCAATTCCTAATATTTGAAATTGGATATAATTGTGGGGTTGATTTCCCCCCCCCCCCTCCCAATCTTTTGAAATAGCAAGTGATTTGACATTATGTCCACAGTATATGCATTTGTGTGACAAATTGATATTATTTGCCCATTATATGAGTGTGATAATATATGTCATCATCATGCCCATAATATATGAGAAAATTATTACTTGATTTGAAGTCTGAACCCTGAGGTTGAGAAGCAGGCATTTTATTTGTCATGGTACAGCTCCACTCTCCAGATGGTTGTGACGTTAATAGTGTTAATAATAATGGTCATGGCCATTGCTAAATTTTTTTGATAACCATGTAATAAATTATCAATAGGTAAATACATTAGTTATGTTTTCAAAAACGTACAAATTATACTGAGCTGTTTCTGTTTCTTCTATCAGGAAAGCAATGCAGAAGAGATTTCCGATCCTAATATGGCCTTTGACCCAAATGCAGATTATGACGCTAATGTGGCTTATGACATGAATGGGCAACCTTACGACCCTAATGCACCGTACGACCCTAACCAGATGGAGGTCGGTGATCCCAATGCTCCTTCAACATATGACAACGTGCATCAGGTTCTATCGTCACTTATGGTAGGTGTTGGAATATTTTACATTATTTTCTCTTGTTTTTAAGCATTTAGTATAATATATATAATTCTATTCAATATAATTTTGTGCATTATTATGTAACTGATGATAAATGTTTTATGTGGACCTTGATGCCTCCATGCTAAACAAAGTGTCAGGATCCAAAGTTGGGTTAGGAAGTAATATCTTGAAATTAGAGGGCAGCAGACTGGTATTAACCTGTAATAACCTGATTACTGTACAGTTCAGATAAGTGGCACATGTGAACCTATACTTAATCGTTAAAATACAAAAGGACCATATTTCATTAAAAGAGAAAAGTTGAATACCCCAAATATGAGATTTATGCAGTTTTCCCTTTAATTCGAGACCACTTTCTGTAAGTAAAAACTACTATAACAATGTTCATCTTTTAACGCAAAGCTTATACCCTCCAATGGGCCTTTCTGGAGTGTCAATCAAAGTTGACTGACCAATCAGCACAGGGCTATAGACATGTGCGCGTCTCACAAACACATGTAGTCCCACAAATTCATGTTTTTGCATATATGTTTTCACAATGTTGTATTTTGGAAACTTTGCAACAAAATCCAAGGGGTAGGGCTTAGTTAGCAGCAAGGTCTGTTGTTGAACGAACCCTGAGACCACCTCACATTCTTAGGTTTGAAATTGGAGGGCGAACTATAATTTCCTTGAGTACAGTTTTTCCGAATTTAGAGACCAATCTCGAGATCCACAAAAATAAACAAGTCAGTTGTTATGATGTTGAATCTTACTATGTCTACTATTGAATCATTACTCTGTTTACTGTTACCTCACATGATAATCATTCACACATAACAGTAATATCTTCATCACACACAGTTCAATCTATTAATAATACATTTATTTGTTTGTAGAACCAAGGCCATGATGTAGGGGGTAATATTATGCAGGAAGAGGGTCTAACATCAAAACTGAAAGAAATTATGGACACATTAAAAGGTCATGGTAAGTGTTTGAATTTGTTATTGCATGTATATACCAACTACATAGATTCCAGGCATTTGATTGGTTAAAATCTGGCAAAAGTTCCAAGCCATGTCCTTAAGCCAGTCAATAGCCTGGAATCTATGTAGTCAGTATATAAAACAAATATTTAGTGGGATTTTAATCAGGTCATAGTTCAAATTAGAGCCCATGGTGATTTGGAGGCTGTACTTTCACCTCCGGCTCTAATCTGAACTATGACCCCAACCCAGTAAATATTTGTATACTGTATATCTGTTTTTATTTATTTAAAGTTGAGTATCTTTCTCCAACAACATTGTAGGAAAGATGCTGTGAATCCTAGTGATGAAAATGTCTTTAAAATAATATGAAAGATAGATATTTATAAAAATAATATATAAAATATCACATATATTTTTCTCCTTCCAACAATTATGTTCAGTTTTCACATAATGAGGCAACAGCATTAATGCCAGCCATGTAGTGATCCATACTGAATCCCTACATACTCAGAGTAAACTAGATAGATTAATATTATTTTTTTTTAATATCTTGTGTGTTTGTCTTTAACAGGAGGAGGTCCTCCAAGGATGCCGTTTAACCCAAATAATCCAGGGGGTTTCATGAGACCCCCACCAAGAGGAAGAGGCGGATTATTAGGCAGTAAGTAACATATATATATAATAATATATGTATTCTCTCATCATAATTCATATTTAAATAATACATTTTAAATTCATGCCAAGCACCATCTTAAATGTTGGACCTGAAAGTTAAAAACAAAATATCATTTTTAAGATTATTAAATTTAAAAATTGTAAAGCGCCTCGAGGTTGCATCAACGTGAGGCGCTATATAAATCCACAATTATTATGTTGTTATTATTGTGTTTTGCCCTCTTTCAACATTTACAAATGAATTAATACTTGGAAAATGCAGTTTTTATTTCTTAGCCTATAATTATTTAATATGTTTATTGTTTGAGATTATTTGAATGTAACAATTAATTATGTGTATTTTTTCCCCCAGATGTTCCAATGAGTTACAGAGGTCCACATCCACCAAGGTTCCCTCCTTTCCCTCCTGGTATGGGAGAGCCACGAGGCCCACCACCAAGGGGTCCGATGCGAGGTATGCGTGGTAGTCGTGGAATGCGTGGTCGTGGTGGCCGTGGTCGTGGTGGCCGTTCTGAACCTTGCTGGCATTTTATGAATCGGGGCGGTTGCAGGATGGGTAGTCAATGTCACTTCCTCCATCCTGGAATCAACGGTCCTCCGTTATGAACTCTTCAAGAGACAACTATCAATCTTGATGATTGTAATACTGCTGAAGACGTGGATTTCAATTGATTCAATGTCAAATTAGAAATGCATAATAATGAGAATAACATCAGAGACTATGAAAGTGTTAAAAACTATTTATGATGAATTGAGCTACAATTGCTGCCAGAAATAAAGTTTCAACTCACGGAAAAAAAAAACATGTTGAGACTGCTGATGGTCTAGTGTTGTATTATGCAAGTGATTGCTTCATATGCAACTATGTAAAACTAGCCAATCATATCTTGCCATTCCAACTTCCAATGACCTGATTGCCCATTGAAATTTCAAGGGTTTGAATAATTTTTTAATATAAATTGATCGTTCAGTATTTTATGCAGTCAATGTATCAAACTGATTGGTATTTCATGTTGAAAAAAACCCCACCATGTTTTTTAAGCTGCTTACAAATAAAATAGATTATTGAAATATTGCCTGTGTTAAATTAATGATTTAAAAAAATGAACTTATTTAATCATGGGAATGAGTACTTTATTTATCTCAATCTTTATAAAAATGTTTAATGAATTTTATTATAGAAGAAATTTTTCAAATGGTACTGTTAATGAATTACTGATTGATTGCTAAGGAAGCAGCCTCCTCCCTACATTGGTAGTTTCTTAGGTAACCAAGTTTGAAAGTGGTATGTTAACCAAAGTCTATGGAACAAGACCAGGCTGCATAATGGGTGAGAGGAGTGGCCCAAGAAGGCGCAAGTAATGATCTTGTGCATTCCAATCAGTTTGCCAAGCTTGAATATTCATTTTGAAAACAGTCTGCATGCAGTATGTACCAAATTGCTGTATTTATATCAATGCAAAGACAGCATAGCAAGTATACTGACGTCATACGTGGTGAATTTTTCGTGAAAATATAAGCTAAGAATAAGTACCGTATTCAATTAATTCCTAACCATAAAACCATTTGTATCTATCTATGATTACAAAAACATGATTCAGATTTTTCTGTGACGTAAATTTTTTATAGGGGACTTTCCCTCATTTCCCGATAATGTGAGCCATTTTCATCACTCCTTGGTTTAATTGTTCTTCCGATAATGACAGACACCGATTTGTAATTTGAACAATGTTAAGAACTTGATTGTATTATTGTTTGTTTAGATTTTTGTAATTTATCATCTCTAATCGAGATATGTATAATGTGTATCGATAATGTTTGATCATCAGAAAAATAAGACTATTTTTATAATAAGTTGTTTGTTTTTGGTGTTTGTTCGATTCCATAAGGCCACAGTTTAATGTGAATATGTTCGTCGACAGTGGGACAACTCGCAACTATTCTACGACATTGTCAACTGAATAAATTGAGACACAATATGGCAGCAATTACAATAACACATTTTAGATGATTTTTTTTAACTCTAATGTACAGCATACAGCTATTATTGTCCTTGCAACAGAGCAGACGACGCGCAGACAACCAGTCAATGAACTTATGATGATATAGCTTCTGTCATAAGTGACAGCTTCACTTAACAAATTTGGCAGTAGGGATGATGAAAAGAAATACCGTGACCCCTCCGCAGTCGTTTATAATAAAACATAGTGAAACTTATATAAAAGGCTCTACAGCAATAAGAATATTTCAACGGATGATTATTATAGAAGATTAAATGATCAGTAAATGCATATGGAAAGACATTGATGTGTGTAATCCACAATTTGTACACGGTGGTCAACAACACAAAAATACCATAGCCTGAACTGTAGCTACAGAAATTGGTGGCCTTTCGTTTTCGTTGGCAGTTGATGCTGAATGAGTACCTATTGATTATCATATATTATGTACTGTATTAAAATGAGCTAATCCTGCGTGGAAAATGGTTGAGCCAAATAATTTTAGTTTGCCAAAAGAGGAATATAATCCCTATTTAAGTGATTTGCTTGTATTATGCCTGTTTTTCGTAGGTAAGATTCTTTCCATGAATATAAAAATGATACAAAATGCCGATATGGAAATGGCTTAAAATAATAAATATGTTTGTCAATAAGTGTGACGGTTAAACGTCGTCAAATTTGAAATTACAAAAGTTTGTGCTTCATTTATTTCAAAGTTTGTTTTGGTTTCTTTGTCTTCAATATAAATCAATAGGCCTCTATCTTAGGTCGGCCGCTCTTACACATAAGGCAAAACCGTTCGTTAATACCTTGTTTAGCGAACTTATTTTTCTAAAGCTCGTCAGGAGGGCGGAAAAAATGTTTTATATTTAGTAAAATAATTCTTCCAAAAGCATCTAGGCGGAGCAGAAAATAATGAGATTGATAATGCTTGAAATAGAGAAGTACAGGTATAATTTAATCTTAGTTTTGGAAGGTTTCATGGGAGCAGAGGGCGTAATAAATATTAATTAGACATTTTGTTTTCTGAAATTTTAATTTTTTGTGGCAGAGGAAGCGCTAACTGGCGAACAAGAAAATGTTGTTTTTATTCAAAATCACTATTATTGGCAGTCAGAGAGTTCACTAAAAAAGTAGGCCGCGCCTATATAAAAAAAATCTCGCCTAAACAGGCTGCATCTGTTTTAAATGAAAGTAATTGTGAATGCTGCTTTTTTTGGCGGAAAAATTTGGTTATAGCCCTCAATCAGTTTCCGTCTTTAAAATTATTAAAGTGTTAGAGCTAGGTAGATGACCTGTATACAGCACATTATTCTAAAGAGAAGAGGTGAGATGCATTTGAGAAAGGAGAATGGGGCGCTAATTCCCACCTCATGTATGCCATATATTAATTCCTAGCTGTGATGCGTCCCTCTCCGGAGATGGCGCCAAGTTTCAGTGAAAATTAGGGGAATTAGCATGGTTACTCAATTATTACCTATGCGAAGTATAGGTAATAATATATAATATATTCATCTCATAAACTGTTTCGTTGAAAAATAAAGATTAATATCTGCTGTTAAGACAAAATTTAATAAATCATCATTAGAACGCCTCTCGTCATGCGACATACGCTTTCGTCCACTATTAAAGGCCAAGTAATAAAAGAACAATTAAAAAATATATTGTTATTATAAATATAAATCATTTATAGATAAATATTGAATGATATAAAAAGTTACTGTATCGAGTGGAGTTGAATAGCTTGGTGGTTAAGATGCTTGCCTTCCACTCCCAGGGTCCGGGGTTCAATTCCTGCCAGTTGCAGGATTTTTTTCTCACGACAAAACAACTTTACACTCTCTAAATCTAAATCTCATATTGAGATTTAGTTTGTGTAAAGCATCGTGTGTGTATGTTTGTCTTGTGTACGGGATTGTCACCTGCAAGTAGGATAGTGATATATTCGCTCTTGACAATCATTGGCACATGTATTGTGTGCCTAAAAAATAAATAAATAAAATAATAATAATAATGATAATAATAATAATAAAAGAAGTTAATTACTTCTAACAAGAAACAGATTGAAAAAATATGTATATTATTTTCGTCTCTTACAGAGATGTTATTACAAAAACCTGAAATTGATTACTAGCCTATTTATGTAAAATAATGATAGGCCTACATAGAAGTATTATCTATCCATGTTGTCCGTTTGTTAAATTGATGGCAATTATTTCTCTGTTTCAGATTTTAAATTGACCTGTAAATTCAACAATTCAAAATTGAATTAATTTGTTTTATTTATTTAGCACTTGATATAATTACAATGAACTAAGAAATTAAAATTATGGACTTTACGTATACCTCTGTCAATACCATTACCGGGCCAACTAAAATGGATGATTCTTAAATCTATAAGCGGAACCTTTGCTTTCAACGCCATCTTTACCTAATGTGGTGGCTGCGTAGGTTTAGACAAGATGGCCGCCTCCATGCGAATGTTGTGTCGACGATTAATCTTACAAAACCGTGCCGTTAGCTTAAAAAACACATTTTTCTTTACTATTAATCCTATCAATACTAAGGTAATTTAATACCGTTGTTGGACCTACATCCGTTGTATAGTTATATAGGCCCACTATTCGCTACTAGAAAGGCTAGGCCCTAGCCCCTGTGCTGTGTCCACTGCATTGAATCATGAGCACGGTGGTGAATGTCGGGTGTGATGCGGTGATACCTACAGTAATGCTAACAACAACTAAGACCTAGGCTAGGCCCTGGGCCTAGGCTTGTAACTTTAGGCTAGGCCTAGCCCTAGCTATGGACCTAGTCTAGGCATATGTTAAGTATGCACTTCACTTTATCAGTCAGTAGTGTGCCAGATTATAAAACATATTTATATGACGCCAGGGAGAGGCTACCTTCCACACATCGGAAAGGTACTAATCATCTAATACATCAGTAGTTGTGGGAGATAAAACTTTGTAAAATAATATTTGTAGGAGATTTAGGGTAAGATACTGTACTACTATAAGTACAGTTCACATAGAAGATTTTAGCAAACCTTCTGGGTGGGACAAAATGGTCATGAAAGATATCTGACAGCAGTAAAAGTAAAGTAGGCCTACAAGGTTAATTTTAATTGATACCATTAATATTGATACTGTATTATGAAGTCAAGCTACTGTATTCTTAATAGGCCTAGTCTCCATACCTCATAAAAATATGAAATGTTCAGCAACCAATATGTATGAAACTTATTTGTTTTACTGTTCTAAAACTCAGATACTTCCTTCAGAGACCAGTATCCTCAATAAGAAGTTCATCTTTACGTCATCAAGGCTTTGCGATGAGGAACAATTAGATGAAGATGAAGTGAAGACAGAAGAGAAAGTAGAAAAAAAAGAATTAACAGCCGAGGACATCAGTGCAGCTATAAATTACATAGGAAGTGAAGGTACATGATGAATACCTACATAAGCCCCTGTTTTCCCTCCCTCCCAATCTGCCCCTGGGCAGTCATTGCTTGTCATGACATACAGTTCATTCATTTGTTTTCAAATCAAATGGCTCAAATTGTATGTATTAAGAACACAAACTAAAGCAGAGAAAAAAATGGTAGCTAGGGAATAGGTCATTTTTAACTACTTTTAAGTAATATGTTCAGCGTGGAGATGGAGCATTTTTTAAGGGGTTTACGTCCTACTTGGAATGTCGTTCAGTCTAGGATGACAATCAAGGGCAGTGCGGATTCAAGGGGGGCAGCTGGCCCGTCACCCCCCCCCCCTTAAATTTTTCAAACTTAAAATAAAAAATTGAGAAAAAAAAAATTATATTCAAATTTTGTCTGAGATTGCCATTTCCGGCTATCTAGAGGTGCCATAATCTGTAACCATAAATTTTCTTACCTCTTCCCCAACCATGGTGTGGCTGAGGTGGTAAAGACCATCCATCTGTGAAAGTCCTTCCCAAAGCCTTCTCTATTCAAATTTCTGGATCAGCCACTGGAGGATGCATAGTGTAGATATTCAGATGATGTGTAAATGATAAGATGATGTGTGGATGATAAGATGAAAGAGAGAGCATCAGCAAACAGTAGTTGAGTTTTTTTAACTTTCCTAAGTATGTGTACCGGTCCCTGAAGCGTTTGGTACAGCGGTTGGGGCTGGGACTATCAACCTATTGGTCAGGGGTTTGAAACTTGCGCTGTGCAAGTTGCTTGTGTCCTTAAGCAATTTACATTTTATCTCTATGTTTGTCTCTCTATACCCAGGAGTATAAATGGGTACCGGCATATGTTGATGTAAACAAACTTGCTGTGATGAGTGCTGATCCCCTCAAAGCATTGCACAGTGTGGTCCCAATGCTTAAAAAAGAGGGATGGGCACTCTAGATCTGTACAAGTTTGACTAACTTTAATCACTCTGTGTGTACAATGAGCTATGGTGATTCTTGTCTAATATGTAATTTAATATGATTACTCAAAAGTCTTATTATTTTTTAAATAAGGTAAAGTTATAGTACTAAGTTTTGTTATATATTATACAAATTTACATTGTACAACTTTAACTATATATTATATTTTCACAGATTATTTAGAGAAATATGGTGACAAGCCGGTGTGGGCAAATTATAGACGCAATTTTAAGGGTGGGGTTCCACCAAAGGTAAGTTCACTTACTGTAATGCTACTTTCAGACTTCAGAAATACACCAGACGTAACTAACGCCGGGTGTATGTTAATCCTTGCCATAATTTGCAAGTGGACTGCGAGATTAACACAATGCAAGTTAAGTTTTTGCCCCCAAAAAAACATCCTTTGAATCGTGCATCTAGGCTTTTTGTGATTAGTCAAATCTTGACTATAATTCAAATCATTGATGGAGGGGAGGCTTTTGGTGGACTATCGTATGCCAGTGATTGCGTGTTAATAATACTGGCGTTTGCTACACCGTGCACAAGTTCACACCACTCGACTAACTAGCTAGCATAACTTGTTGTGTGTGAACCATTAAGTTAAATGTATGTAGAAACTTTTGACTGTTTTGAATATTTGACTATTTCAAATCTGTGAATTCAATTCATTTATACATATTTGAAAATACTTTTTATGCTGCTATATTTATGCTTAAGCTTTTATCTGATGATTAGCCCAGTGTTCTTTACCTCCATCTCAATTCAAGAAAAATATACACTCTCAGCCACCATTACCGCTATTGAGATACCATAAGTAAATATGGTTTACTCTGTTGCTAATTAAAATGTGTAAAAACATACTTCCTGCTTTAAAAATATACATTATTAATTGTTGCATCCATTAACAATAAGGAATGTGTTTTGCTTCTTTTGTGCCACTATAACAAAAGTGATTCCGAATAAAAAGTAAAACCAAAAAATTGTGATTCATTTTTGGGAAAATCAAAGGTGACCTCTTCATAAGTTGTGTGCTTTTGTAATAAATAAAAACTTTTATTTTTATTGTTTTCAGAAAACAAGAAAGACTTGTATAGTAAGTGTAGTGCCTTTTTCTTTTTTCTTCACCCTGTCTTAAATTTCTGTTAATACATTTTAAAAAATCCTATCAATTGTGCGAAATATTTGGGTTAATGTATTTCGTACTGCCTTCCCATATGCTTATCAATTATAATATGTACCTCTTTCAAAATCAAACTTGGTATTCTTTAATGCTTTATTTAACAATAGATCTGATCTTTGGCTGTTCCCTGTGTTTAACTTGTTATTGTTACATTAGTGATGATTCTTGCAGTTAAATCCAATGTTGTAATTACAATGGTCAAAAGAAAACTTGAATTTAAATTTTAAAATGGAGAAGCGTGTTTGATGCATCTGCTTCCATTCCGATTGAAGTTGTGGTCGGGAGTTTGACCTAAAAAAACATGACCTACCTTTGTTTTGGAAAAATTACCAAGTTTTGCAGCACGGCATATCTGAATAATAATCTGCGCAGCCCAAAAAATCTTTCTTTCCTGAATAAATGTAAGTGGCTGACTCCGTGGCATACGCTAATGGGGAGGCTTTTGGTGGATTATCGTATGCCTGTGATTGCGTATCAATAATACTGGCGTTTGCTACGCGCCGTGCACAAGTTCACACCACTCGACTAACTAGCTAGCGTAACTTGTGTGAATAAATGTCAGTGGCTGGCTGAATCAAAAAAGCTGGTGACCCAAGTTGGCCCGCAGGCCAAGGTTGGACACCGGGGTATTATTGGCATGAATATCATCGGCATAAAGCTCTATAAAAACCATTTCATCGCACAAGAACACATTTCAGCCCACTAAAATACATAACACATGGGCGGATTCATTGTGGAGGGGGGGGGGGTGGCAGGGAATTTGTGTGGCCAGAAGGCCAATCATCGGATAAACCTGTGATTTTGTTTTAATTGATCAAGTGTTGATTATGTATTCATTACACAATTTTCTTTGACTAAACATGTTATTTCTTATTTCAGAGAGGAAAGGGTGAAACATTGAAAGTATGTGGCAACCCTTGTCCACTGTGTCGAAATGAAGAACTGGTACTGCATCATACTGTAAGTGATCAATATTTAAAAAAGAAAATTACCAAATAAATATATATGAATTATTAAAAGACAAATATTATACAAATAGTAAATGTTTATGAAAGCAATGGGAAGAATATTTTAATGAGTTGAAAGATTGACTAATTTCATTCAATGAGGTGGAGTTGATTGGAACATTCAATCTTGCAATGAATGAAAACATTCTTCCCAATGCACGAATACAAAACATTCATTATACGTTTTATAAGACACCTAAAGTGGATGCTTGCCATTTGATATTTTATGAAGAAAATAAAGTTAGGCCTACCTTTCTTCCAATCTGTAGAAGTTTCAAAACAAACAATTTGTTAGTCAAAACGTCAACTTTATTAAAAACTGTACAAAAATCAGGTTAATTTCTACGCTCAGGTTAATAATTTGTATGTTACTGCAAATGAACAAGTTAAATTTGCAAAATTATTAATTCTTTTTTTTTTTGTCATTTTCCGGGTCTGGGCAGTACATGTTTAATAAGTAAATAAAAAATATTGCCAGTTTTATTGTGATTTTTCCTTTGTCTTTTAACATAGAATGTTAAGCTATTGGAACAGTTTGTTTGTCCGCATTCACTTGAGATCTACAGTTGGTACAGGACCAGTGTGTGCCAAAGAAGGCACAAGGAGCTAACTAAAGCTGTAGAAACATCAAGAGCTCTTGGTAAGGTTACTTTTATTGAGCATGGAAACAGGGGAAGAAAACAGGCTTTAGCCCCATCCCCCTAAAATTTTACCAATATGCAAGTTTTGTTTTTTTTACTATAGTAATAGCCTAGAAGCCTGCACTTAATTTTAGAAGCCCAAAATGCACAGCGAACACTACACTATTTGGACAATCATATTGCCTGTACTTGCCATTTATTTCTCACATTACAGTTGGCAGTTGTTTTTACAACCATAACATTACCTTTTCCTGTAAGTTCACACTATACATCACATGACCAGTACTCTTCCCTGTCACCAATTGTGTCTATTAAGACTTTTATTTAAGACCTCTGAAAATATTATGCTGTAGTTTATTAATCACTCCATCATGTGGGGATCATTCACCTATGATGTGGTTGAAGGTAGGTATTTGTACACCTTCTGAATTTTTAATAGATCGCTAAACAAAAAATTATGGATCTGCCCCTGATAAAGAAATATTTGTTTCGCTGACTTTGTCATTGATCAGACAATAGCGGCTGATATAGACCTGTCAGATTTTTGGATAAACAAAATATTAAAATGTGACTGGCTGATCGACCATCCAAAATTTGTCCATTTAATGGTAACATAAAAATGTATTATTTGGTTCAATCTTGATTTTGATACCAATGGTGATATTGCATTCTGATGATAATGGCATAATAATCATGGTAGCAATTGTGATTAGTCCAGTCAATCTGTGACAATTATAATGAACACAGAACTAGTTACAACAGAAATATTTTTTCGGAATTTGTTCCTGAAATATACACAAAATATACTAAAAGTTCCACAAATCTAATCAGGAGAAAATTGTTAATTATAAAGATATGAATTAACATCAAACACTTTATTGCATTGTCTGGTTTGATTCATCACCGTACATGGTTGCCTATCTTATTTTTAACCATTTTTGATCCGACACATGTGACAGTATATTTCTGGAACAGGTTCTGCAACATTTATTTCTGTTGCAATTAGTTCTCGGTCAATCCACATATTAACTAGACTAGATGTAATTGTTGATGTTGACAGTACGGTGATGTTGCTAGGTGATGATGACGCAAACAATTTGATGTTCAGTGATATGAGGCTCATGCAGCTGATGGTGATTAGGACAATGAGTGAAGGAAGAGAAAATGTGACATAATGGTTCTTGTTATAATATGTAATTATAAATAGTGCCATAGAGTTAATAATGAGTATTGTGAGGAATAGCATATCGTCACCGTTTTCACGAAGAGACACAAACTTCAATTTCGACAAAAGCAACGTTTTGAGAAAAACGCGTTTGAGGTGGACTACTTCACAAATCCGTAAATTTCACTATCAAGATAACGGAATTTTGAATATTTTTTTACATATGTTTAAAGATAAAGCATTAAACAATCCAGATGTGTAATTTATTTATTTTTTTCTTAACTTTAACCAACCTGTTAATTAGCGTGAAATGTTTGTGTCTGTTCGTGAAAACGATCAGAATAAACACAGCATATGTTGTTTACATGTAGAGTGAAGTTTGTGTCTGTTCGTGGAAACGGTACGCGCACCCGTTGTTAAGGCACAAACTGTATTTTAGCTATGTGTTAACCATTGTAGTAAAGGGCGAAAACAGGCCTACAATCTTGGCTTATCCTGCTTTAATCATTATGTTTTTACGAATAATTCCACATTTGATGCACGTGTATAGACCTATCCCAAGTTATACTGCAAGAAGGGTACCGGTATGCCTAGGTAAGCTAGGGAAATCTAATTTTTACATGTAGCCCTAGCCAAGCTAGCCCTTACCTAGCGATCACAACGATTGCAACGCCGCATGCGCATCTTTTAATAACCCAATGAAAGTTTGTGTCTGTTCGTAAAAACGAAAAATGCATTTATCTCGGTTTGTGCGCAACGGCTAATTAACTTAATTAGCTAATTATTTCCACTGTTAAAATTAGATGAAAAGGTAAAGTTCGATGTACATAATCAAAATGTCAAAGAAAAAAAAAATTGAAAAAATATGATTTTCGAAGTTTGTGTCACTTCGTGAAAACGATGACGATATAATGATAATGGTGAAGCTTTCTTGTTGGGATGATGTTGATTTCATAAAGGCAAAGAAAACGCTGTAGTGACGGTGACATATGAAGGATTTTGAAAAAATGGTTGCTGAATTAAAAAATTTTACATCCTCTGAATTTTACGCAGTTTGCAAAACTAGGAATGGATCATAGGTTGGTTTTTAATATCTGAATTAATTTATTTTGCCATTTATTGTTATTAATTTTCTGGTTTTTTTTTTAATGGGGTGCTCAGGCACCGTAAAAACCCCAGAATACCCTACTGAGTCACAGGAGGAAATCAAACTTAACAACTGACCAATTAAAAAATTGCCAGGATTACGCTCATGTCCAACAAATGCAGCCGTTTTGTTGGACCTTAGCAAAAATACCCTAGGGGGCAGGGCTGACTGCAACGGTCCATTCTCTGTCACTATTTCTGTGCGCCCTGTCTTCTTCACCCACTTATATGCTGATTGCCTACGTGCAAATCAGGAGTCGATACATGAAAGTAGATGGAGTCATGTTATTAGTCAGCGTATAAAATATAACATTGGTAGCACTGTGTCAACCAATTATATATTTATAATCACATACATTACATTTAGCTTCAAGTTTAGTATATCAAGTTTCATTCATGTTAGGCCAAAAAATATATGCTATTTCTCACCTGTAGCTTTCAATCCACATTGTCATAGCGCCACAAGAACATTGCATTCTGCTATGGATATTGGCGCTATATAAATCCTTGTAGATTGAGTGATTGATTGTCGGACTTCTTCAACTGAACGACTTCACCGATAGACATTGGCTACAGGCCAACATTATTCAGTTGAAGAAGGTCCGAGAATGCAGATCGAAGGCTACTGGTGAGAAATAACCCTTATAAATTTTTAGAAATGCAGGACTATAAAAATAGTGTCTGCAGATACTTCAGTCAACATTATCACATGCATGCTATAAATATTATAACTTAAAATTTCACAAATACTACAGCCAATTTACGTATTAGAGATGATTGAGAATAAGAAATATAGTACGTTATTAAAATACAGGTTTAACTACTCAAAATGTCAAACAAAATATTATTTTGATCTCTTTTAAATTCAAGTAAAACAGCTGGGAATGTAAACAAAGATTCACGAGTGCATTCCTTCGGAGTTATATGTATATTTCAACACGGTTTTATTACAGATGTATTAATCTGTTGATAAAAGATGCATTATGTGTGTTAATCAGGTGCATTTTAATGTTAAAACTGCTTCTGATAAAGCCAGCAATACTGTTGCCAAAGCTTATGTAATAAATATTTCCCAGTGTTTTATTTTATTATTTTGAACATCACAGTGTTAGTAAACGTTATCATCTGCAGTGAAACGCATATTACTTGTACTCAAGTACAGTACTCAAAATTTCGTTTGAATTTTTAGAATAATTAATCTTCATTACTGTATATCGAAATTGGCATATTTAGGTTATCCTCAATCATTCTCCTAATACGTATTTTGTTCATTATCTAGTTTTAATAAGTTTGTGTTGAAATATTTGTAACATTCGTGTTATAATGTTTACTTAGGTGTATAAACCTTCTGTAGTCATTTTGTATTTTCGTATACCGTATTCTGTAGTTGTAATGAAGACTACTGCACTTGCACAACCTTCGTATTGCGCACGCACTCTAATGCAAAGATAAACCTACCCATATTGCGGTGTTCGTGCTTACTGAACAATGGTGGATGGAATACTTTTTATACAGGGCAAAGACGGTGCGTAACTCGCTTAAATGCGCGTTGGCGGGAGCTTTGTTCTTTACGCATGCATGCTGTTGAATGGGTGGAGTCAAAGTCGAGTGATTTCCTATTACACCATGGTTCAGGCAGTACCAAGAAAGAACTTCTGACTATTACGAGGGGCCGTAATTTACTTGTATGAAAATGTTTTACAGTTTCTTAAATTACTTGATGAACATTTGTATTGCAGGTTTAATGCCAGCTCCCCGTTCAACGTTCGTTAAATATGATTATGAAGACTACTACAAGAACAACCACAGTGACCAGTTATCGTCAATGACGTCATCATGACACGCCATCCAGCACCCAGGGGTACATCCGACATGCTAGGCTGGATGCCCTGAAGTTCTAATGGCGCATCTGTCAATAGAATACTAACTATAAGTGGTCAAGGATGTGCAAGTTAATACCAAATGTGACACAGTGATTCAGGAAAAGTCTTGATACAAGATTCCAGAGTGGTTTCTTTGTTATTGAGAAATATATGCTATATCTAATATGTCATTGTTCTATATTGCTTTTTACAATTTTATTTTAAACATTCTAATGTACCGCATTAGTTGGTCTGTTTAGCTCTACAGATTTAGGCCTAAATAAGAATCGCTTTTAAAATATAAATTTCGCTTATCATTTAAGACTTAACGTAAGCTCGATCGTTACGTCATGCAACCTGTTTATTAAGTAAAAACTTCAATAAACGAATATTTTGAATAAATTTATTTTATTGGTGTTTCAATTGCTTGTTATCTAACATAGCCTATAGTGAAATAATTACATCCGATTTACACTACCTTGATTTCTAACTATTAGGTCTAAGTTGATCACGGCATGTTAACGGATTTACTACTCCATGGTGATACTGAGCTTCAATGAAATGTTCCCATAGCGTGCCCACTCGGTCCTTGCCGGAAAACCACAAAGTCGATTCGATGCGAGTTATTTGTTTTCATTGCTCGGATAGTAGGTCTTCTCGGCGTGATTTATCAACGAAAAAGTCGCTCGAAATAATAACAGCGCGTAACGGTGATTATGCATTGATGGTGGCGCAAAACACTCCACTGCGAGAATCTAATCCCAGCCTCGACAAGCAGCGCCCATTCAATCGTCTACACCACTATGTTTGTATGTTTTTGTTCGTCCGTTTATTTCTTTTGTTCATTTGTTTTGTATTTTGTGAACAATATATCACGATAAATGTGCTTCACCAGTCATCCACTTTCCGTTTCTGATATTGTTCTGTTTTGATGCACAAAATTAAATCTGCACGCAATGATTCCAAAACGTGATTTACCATCAAAATGTGAATATAGGTTTCTAAGTTGAATTAGGCCTACAATATATTTTCTCCTAACATAACAATTTGAAAAGCTTGTTTATTGAAGCAAATTATATCTCGTGTGTTACAATTTTTTAATTTTACATGCCTATTTTATTCTGTTCTTCACAAGTATATGTTGTAATAACTCAATACAAACTGAAAGGCGACATTTTTAACTACCAAAACCTTAGAAACTAAATTAAACATGAAGAAACACGTATCAGCATCGGAAAAAGACTTACGAACAAGGACATAAATTTACTACTTTGTGAGAATAGACTACAATCAATTTTGATAAGACATTTAAAATAATAAGTAGTAAGTTATATAAATGCGCCTAATATTATAGTATGAATTGCTTATAGAATTATGATGATTGAAGATGACGATGGTGATGATATGATGATGAAAGTGATACCAACAACGATAATATACAGTAAAACTTTTGCTTTGAGCCCTAGTTCTCGACTTGTTGCAATTGTTGACCCCATTTTAATAGGTGACCGCTTAGTTGATAAGTTGAGCTTCTGTCTTAAGAGTTCACACCCACCACAGCCCCACCCATTGTTAGTGAACTAATTTAGCATAGTCCTATGGCAACTCTAAAGATCCAGAAACGAAGCGCTGGTGGCTGTCCAGAGGCTGTCCTCACAAAAAAATTGTTACGTTGTGCAATTGAATTTTCAAAGACACTGAAAGAGGAGACAAAAGAGCTTGGAAGGGGTTATTAAGATTTTGGATATTTAAAATCTGGGGGAATAGAGGCGTAACCCATTACGACCAGGATTTAAATTAAAGATTTCAACAAATTACCATTATATATAGCTAAGAGAAATATCTCACGACTCGCACTATTTCACTATTTTGTATATAAAAATGTCAAAATCCAACAAACACCAGCGACCATGGGTTTGCTATAATACCGTACCATGCACCAAACACTCTTTCGGTTATTTTTATAATTAAGTGTTGTATTCAAATCTCACTAATCAAACACTTGTAAATATTGGAGTTACAGTAACAGGTACTTTCCCTTTTGGAGTGTTGTGCATTGTAGTGTTTTATATAGCGGAATTTATCAAGAAATAATATCCGTAAAACATATTTTTGCCTGCGCTACTGGTCAGCAAAATAATACTTGCTTGTTATCTTCTACTTGCCGACGGTCTATATCGTTGTATGTTGAATCGCGATTTATTCACACAAAGTAGCAAGTCTGTGTTAATGAGTTTAAACTCAACACGCTTTTGTAAATGCAATATCGTGTGATTGATTCTTTCTTTATACAAAATTTTATAATATGTGATTTATCTATCTTTAAGAAAGTGTGATTACTATGAAATTCGATTCAGATTTTAACTGTTTTGGATTTGATTTATCTATACGACAAGAGAGTCTAGCATGGTGTACAGCCATTAATTAACTGACGATGCTAGGTTTTTCCCAGCTATCAGATCATAAAACAGTCAGTGTTGGTACAGTGCAGTAAGCATGATTGTTCTGGGTCCGCCCACATGGTGTGGAGTTAAAAAGTGGTGAAATCACGGATGACTTGGACTACAAGAAAGACCAATTATTGTCGTGTTAGAGTGGTGAACTTGAATCACCTACGGGTATTTGATTTGTTGTAAATTTATAATGTGATTGAATAGTTTAGCGGTTAAGATGCCTGCCTTCTAATTCCATGGTCTTGGGTTCAATTCCTGTCACAGCATGACTTTTTTAACGACTAAAAATAACTCTACTCCCTGGTCTCAATAAGGGAATTGGTTTATGAAGCGTCGTTCCATCCTGCAAGTGGCGAGTGTACTTACTGTTGAATGTAAAGAGAAAAAAGTATTGTAACCTCAGTTAATATAGTAACATTAGTGAACTTCCGTTCAAAAAGGTTTTATCCTGCAGCTATCAGGCTGTTAAATGAAAGTCTCTAGCTGATATGATGGTTTTCCTTTTGTCGTTATTTTATAACTGGTTATATCCTTCTTTTCTGTATAATGAGTCATGATATGCAATTTTTGCAACAAATGACATTTGAACTTGAACTGGAAGTAATGAGGGAGATTCTTCCAATGGTAAGCTTCTTCTACACTCTAAAATTTTCTGTTGTATGCCCATTATATAGTCATGATGTTCCTATATATGGTAATGTTTTGATGTCATCAGACTATATTTTAGTCATGCAAAATGATTTTGTCCAATAAAATTTTGATAATCAGGACAAGGCTTCAGTCCAAGATTTATGTCCCGGGGAAATTGAATTGATAAAATGTAAGGAAGCATTTGAGTTTAGAGAGATTTTTGCAAGATGATAATTTTCATGCTAGTCGATATGTTGGACCAGTTATTTTTAGTAATACTTCACGGAGAGCTGGGTGATTAAAATCATAATGGTTACACTCTGGAATAGTAGAGATCTACTTGGCAGATATCTGGACCATTTGGAACTTGATGTTTACTGCCTAGAAGTCAAGTGATTATAGAGTGTTCCCTATGCCCGGTAAACCTGCGATAGAGTTTCTGTGGATAACCAGAAAACCGTTTTATTTGTGAGATTGATTTGTTATATAAGATTTCTGTTTATTACAGTTCTAATTGAAACCACTGCTGAATGCGACCCAAGGCGGGTCTATGTTGATGTTGTTTTTTTAAAGGAATGCAGTAAAACATGCCCATGGAAAGTTTGGTACAGAAAGACACTTGCTGCAGGAATCCACCAACGACATAACCTTCGGATTGCCGGTCTGACGCTGGGAACTGAGCTAAACTAGATGTATGACCCGTTTGCTCAATCTTTACTTCGTTATATGTACCGGTATTTGTCCCTACCTGTGGCGTGTGTTCCTCCAATATTGCTGATTGATCTTAAAAGTAACTCTCTTCTTCGGTTTTTGCCCCATTGTAGTAACGTTGATATTCAAAACATTTCTTTTTTTATGCTAGTCGATATGAATCATCGATCAATATTTTTAATGTAATTTCTAATTAAATACCGTTGAAAAATTTGCTGAGACGTTGCGATAACATTAATTTCATGACATAACCGTTACCTAGTAACCACGACGTTCGCGAATGTTATAATAACGTTTTGTGTTTGCTGGGAACAACTCAATTCTTAAATCAATGCTTTACTTTAATGAACCTACTCTGTTATATTTTCGGAAAATTATCCTCTACTTTATTGTCAAATAAAACTAGTTGCAATATTGTGTCTTTTTTATTGCATTTTTTTACTGTCCATTGTAGGACTCCATCTTAACATGTTAATTGTCAATACATTCTGTTGGTAATATACCTACTATGATCCATATGCTTGAGAGTGCGAACGACACTAACTTTTTAGACCTACATTTTTGGAAGATTATTTAATTGTTTTATTGAACAATCTTTAACATATGAGTGTCCAAGATACAGCAATATGTAGGCCTATATATTGTCAAAGTGTTTCATTTTGTTGACCGGTACAAAAGCAACGATCTCGTCTATACATAACTTTTACATAACTTAGTTTAAGATGTTTAGTTAAATGCTTTCTCAAATGTTCTATATGTGGTTTGAAAAAGGTCACTAGAGGTTTTCTCCTAAGTAAAAAAAGAAACATTTTTGTCCTTAAAAAAAGCCTTTTCAATATATTACAGAGGCCAGGATAATAATGAAATCAATAAAACTGAATTTCAGTGTGTAATTTTGTTATATGTAATGATAAATTTCACCTTTAAAAAATCTGTTGCAACGCGAAGAATATTGTGAGTTAACTTTTATTATTGTTTAGATAAATTTTCTGCTATGTATATTTGTATGCCGCCCTCTATTGATAAAACAATATATTCCTTCATTGAACATTAACTCCGAAAATAATAAACATTAAAAACATTTAAATTCAGTTTTTACTTTATTCCATCGTCACACAAAATAACAATTTTCATTGGTCAAAAAAAACTTTTACAAGAGAAATAAAAAAGTTAAATATTACAATTTACATGTATACATAATAATCTAAATCTATTATATTTATTGCTTAGTAATTTACAAGGTATACAAACAATGTATGTTTTTATTTCCAACATAAATCCACTCACTTAACATAGATTTTTCACAGTTAAAACCTAAAAGTGTGTTCCTTCAGTTACATAATGAGTCGGAAATTTAAAACTTATAAAAAATAATAAATAAACACGACGATTATCAATGGTCTGTGAAGAGGCCTGAGATTTAGGAGAAATACTACTTTCATATACTGAAAACAGTAACCCTAATTTGACTCTGATGCAGCAAGACAACTGATAAAACAGCGTTATAAGTAAATATTTAGAAATTTAGAAATTTGAAACCATTTCATCAATGACGGGATGCGAGATGATTAAATTGAACTTAACTTGTTGTTGCATTATTTAACAAATTTACTCGTTGTTAGCGAGTTTCCCATTCCTCACATTCGAACATAGTTTGTTATCCAGAAAAAAATATTAAAATAGAAATATTTTAAGAACAAATAGTCGTTGTTGTTTATGTTTATTTAATATACAATTTTTTAATGATGATGTTTCATTTCGTTCACTCAATCCACGGTATCAAGATAATCTTATCATTAAAGTAGTTGTGTTATGTATTGGCCTACGAATTTGTAAAATTGTACAGAGCATGATCTTTGGTACGGGGTTAAATACTGTGACAGTCCCAGCCATGGCTTTCAATCTTTGGTAAAGCATTGTTTTTTGTTGTTTTAAAAAGGCACAGTTCAGATACTAGTGAAAACAAATACAAGGCATGTAATCTCTACATCAGTTAATGACTTTCAGAAGCATTGTGAATTTGAGGTATCATTTTTATTTTTACGTTTGTATTACATAAGTAAATTCTATATCTTACGTTGGTGGGATAATGCGTTAATCAATGGTGTTTCGTAAGTTTAACACAAGGGTTAAATGTGTAATGACCTAACGAACACTAGGCCTATCATTTTTAGAAACTTTAAATTGTATTGCTGTTTACATGAATATCATATAGGCCCATTCGTATAAACAAAAAACAACAAGGCATACATTGATACATTTTATATACTGTGAATAAGAATATTTTTTATACTTGTTTCAGTTAATGAGCGCATTGAATTGTTTGAAATTTTAAATATATAATTACCGTAAAGTTCTTTCTACCAAGGTCATAGTTTGTTTTTCAATATGTTTTTCTTTTTTTTAATTTGATTTATGCTAATTGGTTCATATAGGTCTAAACAAATAAACAGACATACGATCACGGATAAGCAATTGAAATTCACTTGAGAAATTTAACTACTGATCACTCTGAACTTTCTATTAAATACGAAAGGTCAGAAGTACGTGCATGTTTCATGGAGGAACACAAGTTTTCAACTGTAGGTTACGGCCGTCGTTTAGTGGGACCTTACAAAACATTCAAGGGGAACAGCTTTGTGAAACGGTCCATTGTAAATACTAAATCGCCAATAACTTTTGTGATAACAAAATTACACCATGTCTCTTTACGACGAACCAGATGATGACTTGGTCACTGTAACACAAAAACAAATAAGTAACCAATACACAAATAACAAGTAACAAATACACAAATAAGACAATTATCTGGAAGAATTCCAGTAATAAATACATTGTTTTTAAAGATAATATTCAAGGTACAGACGGAAACTAACCATAAAACTTGCTCCATGAGTACAAGGTGCTTTAACAATTTTAAGTTAAGTTGAAATCAATTGTTTAATTTGACAAGCATTAAAGTCTATAGAAGAAGGCAAATAACTAGCAGAGTATCTTGATATACGTCATAATCATAATCATGCTCAGCTCACATTACTCGGCTAAGTAAGATATCAAGAAATTTATATTTTTGTTGTAAAAATATTGTTTTGTTAGTTAAATAGCGTCGTAAAACTGGTGGAAATGTGGTCGTCTAGTGTGCTCTGTAATTCGGTAAGCGGAGGAATACTTGATGTGCGATCACTTGCGCCCGATGAGGGCGGACCATCCATGTCGATGTATGACGTACTCCCATGGCTGTCGTTATCGTCCTCATCATCGTGCTCTACATGTTCTTCCTCTTCGTCAATATTAGAATGGTTTTCGTGCGTCTGGTCAGGCGAGTCGGCTTCAATGTCCGTCGTGCAATTCTTGTCGTTATCGTCTTCGATGTTGCTGGAATCAGTGCCACCTTTACCGTCGTCTTTTTTCAACATCGTCCGCCTATATTTAGCTCTTGCATTTTGAAACCAAACCTAGAAAATATAAAATATTACAAAACATTACCCATTTGGTCAAGTAATTGTAATTAATAATCATCTAATTTGATAGTCAGTCAAATCAATATCGGTACGTTCTTTAGTCAAATTAACAATTTACCAATCAGAACAGGGCCAGTTGAATACACACGTTTCCAACAAACACACGTGCTTACGTAGGCCCTTGGGTATGTTTACTCTGCGTGGCACCTTAGCAACAATATCCAAGGGGTGGGGCCTAACGGAACGGTTCATTTTATCGCTATTCTAGAGGTTATGCAAGAGCAGAGAACATGTTACGTTACCTGTAAAACTCTTTTCGTTAACCCCGTCTTCTGTGCAAGCTGTTTTAAATCTTTTGCATCCGGATTGTGGTTCAGTGTAAAGTACGACTTCATTGTTCGAAGTTGATGGTGTTTGAAGGATGTGCGCATGCGCTTTGTCCTTGACTGTTGACCATATCCATCTCTATCCATTCCATTTTCAAGATCAAAACCTGCATGAAATAAGAAAAAAAAGTAGTTTAATAACAATTTATTAATCTAACATAGTTGAATACAAAATGTGGGTTTTCACAACGTTAGAAATCATTGGCGTTGAATAATATCAAAATATCAATGGCACTAAAAATGGTTTTATTCATCGTCTTGCCCACTTTTTTAATAACTTTTCTTATAATTTTACGTTAATCGATATATTTCACCAGAGCCTTAGTTCATTCAAAACCAGCTTATCGCAATCTTTAATTCAAAATACCAAATGAGGTGTCTGGGTGGGTTAATTCCTCAATTCATTTTTTCCTTGGTCTTTTTCTTTGTTTTTGATTGTTTTGTCTTGTGTGTGTGCGTGCTTTTTTTCACCTTTGTTCAGTGTTCTGTCTGTATTTTTTGTGTTTTCTTTTCTTTTTGTCTGTCTTTGTTTTTGATTGCTCTGTTCTGTCTGTGTGTTTCTGTTGGACCTGTGTTCTGTGTTTTGTCTGTATTTGTATGTTTACTTATATTTATTTGTATTTTTATCTGTATATTTTATCTGAAATTTTTAGCTTTAAGATGTACCTCTTCGCAATATTTTTGTAAATTTTAACAATTCTAATTTCATAATGTAATTTAATTAATTAATTATTCACTTGATTTGCATTCGTATGTTGTTATATATTCATTGTATTTTTATCTGTATTTTTTTGTACCTGCAATTTCTAGCCTTGGATGTTCCTCTTTATTTTTGTAATTTTTTTTATATTTATATGTATTGTATTTAAGACATCCTGTAATTGGCTTCTTGCTGTTGGATGATGTTCGAAATAAAATAAAATAAAATAAAATAAAATAAAATAAAATAAAATAAAATAAAATAAAATAAAATAAAATAAAATAAAATAAAATAAAATAAAATAAAATAAAATAAAAAACTATATCGTTTGCTGTGAGTCCGACTACAGGGGTCTGTCTGTACAATACTCCTGTTTCGTGGCTTCTTCGGACGAGGCCTGACTATCAGCTCGGTGAGAAAGAAAGGCCGTGAATGTGTGAATAGAGTGGAAGTCGCATGGAAGGATCCCTGGTAGGTGTGCAAGGTGAGAATCTCCCTTAGGCTTAAACCTCATTAATTTGAGTTGGTATTTTGATTGTTTTTCACTATTTAGCATGGTAATTTTCTGATAAGCTTTAACATTTTTAAACAAATATTAGAGGGGGAGTACTCCCCTTACGGCCACCACCCTGCCCCACACTCTAAATCTGCCACCGGGCTATGTTGTTATTTTTCATGGGGACATAAAAACAGTTAGGCTTGAATCATACTAAACTAATTCCTCCATGCATAAATTATGGTCAATTCCATTTTGATAATCGTATTTTGATTATTAATATACACAGAGAATGTAAATATTGTTATGTAACAAATAGGCCTAATTAGTATGTCTATCTACAATGAAAATTATGACAATCTCGTTACTCTTAACGCATAGAGGGCGGAAATACACTACCGGTATATCCTCTTAGGTCTAACTTCAGGACTACATATTTTGCATATTTTGATTAATGGAAGTTTATCATAATACGAGACACATAATCGCTTACAAACATAAAATATAAATTATGAAAATAATTAATGTTCATATTTTATACATTATTTTGACCAGTACACAATATTAGTGTATATGTTAATAACAGTAACACATTACATAAATCTATTGACATAAATCGTCGAAAAGAAATAAATTTAAAATTGATGAGATGTCAATCTGTCAGAGGCAGTGTTTACTAAAGTATGACAGTGCGTCACGTTACGATACCAAATTCCTGAGTTAAAAATGACGAATTCAGATTCTTCAAGACACACTATCCCAATGATGAATTTATTGTACCTTGATCTCTGTGTGAGTTTTTCTACGTTTTTTTTGTGCCGAACAGATGCAAAATAATGTCGTCGTACTTTTTAATGTATGAACAAATGACAATGATTAGTGATTGATTGATTGATTGATTGGTTGGTTGATTGATCGGTCAAGTACGGTATGTTTTTTTCAAATGGTGCCTACGTTCATTTACTGTTGTTAGTTGGACATATAGATTGTTAATTAGGTTCATGTTGTAAAGTTGGTTCGTGTATGGTCTTTTCGTGAATATTTTGAAATTATGTACCTTAATTAAGCATTTTGTCACTTGATACACACCAAATTCAACTTTCAAGAAGTATAGGCCTGCAAGGAATAATGAATTCCATGAGGAAATCATTCGTTACCACATATATTATACTTTACAATAATTAATTTAGTGTAATCTTTCTATATATTTGTTCTAATTTCTTAAATGTACATTTTTAAACTGATTTTAAATTAGGAGTATTGGTATTAATATACATATACATATATTTGTTGTGATGTTATAATGCCAAATTTAGACCAAACGAGTTTTCTTATTGTGGGATAATAAAGTTGTATTATATTGTATTATAAAACATTTAGGCCTATTACTAAATTAATTATCAATATTAAATGTTGGTGCCTAGAATATACACATTTATTATGTTACGCCTACATACTAAAACTTGTCTCAGTCAGTGACTTCACTCTTTACCGAGTAAATGACAGAAAGGTTAGCTGTATTCTATCGCCATAAAAATGTTGCACTTTTGTTGCCCGCTTGATCGCTAACACAGTGCAATAAATAAAGGCAATTCGTACTGACGAGCAGAGCCTAGATCACGATGCCTAGTGTTGCCTGTGGTATCATCACGTATTTGGGATCTAAAGTAACTATTGTCTATAAAAGGTATATATTTGGCCAAAGCACTTTCCAAACTAGCCCCTGGTATTCTAATAGTGGTAGAAATTCATCACCTGATATCTCAATGTATTTATATTTTAAAAAACGAATTACAGGCGATAACAAAAATACTGTAGTCGATGTTTGTGAATAGTCACGTCATTGTCACGCTTTAAAAATGGTGAGATTTGCCTGATTTGTATAGTAGTCGATATCCATTTATACATCGTTCAAATAACTTTCTTTATAAAATGTTCTAATTTCTTAAATGTACAATTTTAAACTGATTTTAAATTAGGAGGTAGGGGATTCAAGGTAGGGCTTGTCTTGTAGAGGAAATACTCACAAAGTTAACGGTCACACAGCGCCCTCAGTGTATTGACACGCTCTAACTTTTCTGTGCGTTTTAAGTCTAAGGCGGTTACTCTGTGATTGTGAAGAAGACCAATCTATTTGCAACGTGTGACTTACTTTACCATTTTGTTTATAAACATTCCTTGTCTCTGAAGACTTAGCAATTATAACCCGTCGTCGAATTATTCCCCGACGTATATTATCTAACTATATCTATAGTCGATATTTGTTCCTGAATACATGGTTCGTGATTTTATAAACCCAATCAAAGGTAAAACATCTACGCTACACTGACAAAACATTAGAAAATAAGTGTATCGAAAATCAGTTTAACACCGAACAGTTGTGTCTGATTAGTATAAGGGGCATTCAGGGACTTTTATAATAACAGGATTATGGATCAATTAGTGGGGCGTCAACTCTTGGGAGTCGCTGACCATGTGTTGGTACAGACGTGCATGATTTAGTATTATTGTGGGCCTATGTTAGTAGTCGGCTATTGTATCATAACGGACACGGTAAGAATTCTAGCCCCCGTGGGTACGAGGTTGGGTTACTGGATACTGGGTTAGTTCATACGTAGGCCTATTCCTACAATGCGAACAAGAGAAATTAGGCTACTCTCATAAAACACGGTGCGATCTATCATTGGCCAGTATGATTCTACAACATAAAATTGTCTGCCATTAGTTACGGTAGCTCTACGGTCTTCTTTGGTAAAAGTGAAAGTTGTACCAGTTAACACTCTTAACCATTGTATTTCTTCGTACGTCTTAATCTAGTTGGTGTGAGGTTTATCACAGTTGGTTTAAATTTGATGTTCAGTTGAATATTATAATATATACACATATTAACGCATCCCGAAATATTCGCAATAATTGATGTTGAAATGCAAACATCTCGTCGAATTCTTTGTTGATATTGTCTAGCTGGCATTTCACTTTACGTAGCCCTGTCATGCCTGTTGCAGCCGAGTTGGGGCGACAGCCAGTTTTGGCACTACCGTTCACTGAAGTCTTGATTTAGCATTCTGTCACTCATACTTCGCCCTCCCATCTTGATTTCCACTGCTATTTAATTACAAATTATAACAGTAATCGCTCACTCGCTTTCCTAAGTACCGCAGAATTTATTGGCCCTGTAGGCCTGCTGAGGAACCGCTGAAAGCATAGAGAGATGCTTCAACATCCAGGCCTAGGGAGGAAATTGAGAAACCTACATGACTTCCAGGCAACTCTGTGTGCATCTCGAACGTGCTTCGGCTAGGCCTAGATGAAATTCAATTCGCACGTGGGAAATATGAAAATTATTGCTGCGGCCCGATAGGCACTTCTCGAACGATTTATTGCATAGATAAAGAAGAACGACAAGGAAAGGTTTGACAGCATGCGACATGTCCAATATGATATGAGCCAGGCGCCAATGACAAAATATTTCTAAAAAAAGAAGTTCCAAACAAAGTTGTTGATTCGAAAACGGAGATGCCCTAGAACTCAAAGAAAGATATTTATATTTGTCTCGCTCATTTTTGTTTTAAATAGTTCGTATAATAGAAATGAAATGAACCGGGATTACAATGCAATTTGTAGACCTACGGTACGGTACTCATGTTTATCCCCAATGTATATACCGTAACTTCCAATATTAAGCCTCATGCCTATTTGTAGAGCATCAAATATTTCAACCAATTTTAACACAACGTTGGCGTAGCGTGTATTGTTTTTTTGTTTTTGTTTTTTTTTGACATATTTACCTCATAGGCCTACATGTATTAACCTCATCACTTTAGTTATTATGATTGTGTTATTTAAAAAAATTATATTGCGGCTATGACTGATCAGATAACGTTGATTTATTAAAATGTTGTAAAAGTTTT